CACGAGCTCCAGGGACACAGAAGACAGCAGAAGAGACGGGACAATGACAACAAGTTGTGTTCTCGTTGTTGCTTAATCCGGCATTGTTTACCTTGTTTTTTTGTTAAGTTTTTCCCGTGTTTTTATTTTCCTTTTTTTATTTAATTTACTTAACAGTTTTTTTGTGGGGTTTTTTTTTTGCACGTTCGCTCCTCGTGCGACTCGCAAGAAGCATCTGGGATGGAAAAAGTTTGCTTTCCTCTGGACTGTAATAAAAACTCCCAAGAAAGAATGAAGTAACCGCTATGGAGCCGGACAATGCCCCGTACTCCAAACCCAAAAGCACTGGAGTCGGGGGGTGAGTTGAGAAAGATGAGAAAGGCTTTTTTTCCCCCTTTTATTGCAGTTTTCAGTTTTATCAGGTTCAAGACTTTGCTCCGTGTGCTGGTGAGCATGCTTTAAACTTGAAATGGTTAAGTTTGGAAATGTCCATATTCCGTACAACAAGCAGTCCGAAAAACTGAGAGAGAAAACTTCAGCTGATAAGGGGAATTTGATTCTGGATTCTGTCTGCGGATTTTAAACCTAAAAGCTGCTCGGATGTGAATTGTAACAGGTGGTTTCTGTGAGAGGGGAAGCGTGTGGAACCGATTTTCCCCTGCCCTTTTTTACGCACTTTTAATCGGAACAGTTCTCCGGGCAGAGCCTTTGCAGCTTGTTTCAGAATGAGCTGCCAAACTATCTGGGACTCATTTGAGGGAGATGTATGAGAGGAGGAGGAGGAGGAGGAGGAGGAAGATGAGGAGGAGGAGGCTGTCCTCCCACCTCCAGCCCCCTCTGCTTTCTCTCTCCTCCCCGCTGCGCCTGGAGCTCGGCTGGTTGGCCGGACTGTCCCGATGGGAGGGGAAGTAAAAGTCCAAATGTTGCATCATGTAACGCAGCCGGACACCCCCTGGTTTCTTCTTCTGCTGATATTTTAAAAGAATGTGCACTGTGACCCGGGAAAATGAAAGCAGGGTGAAGCATTACGCATCACTCTTTAACTGAGTGTGGTCCACTTCCGGGATCCACTCATTGATCCCTATATTGTAGGGTGTTAAAGAATCCATCTGATCCTGGAGATAGTTTGGATTTACAATATCATCTGTGTATGTGTGTGTGTCATTAGTACATTTTTAAATAAAAAAAACCCCTCCAGAAATAGACATTGAAAGTTTATTGGCTGAGGATGCACCGCTATGGCCCATTAAATGACACCGCCGGCATGGGGAAAGCAGGTTTATTTAGGATTCCATGGAAAAAGTGCACAGCAAGGAAAGTTCAGAGGCTGCAAACAGCTCCTTCTGTTATATCAGGTCTTTTTTTTTTTTATGTCTGAGTTAAGAGACGATGGCCCTCGCCGGAGCTCTCACCAGCTCTGCCCGGCGGCGGCTTATCTCGCCAGGCAGCCGGATAAGACAAAGCTCCATGTCTAGAAAAGAGATGTTCGAGTCTCCGAACAAAGCCGAGCCCAGGCTGCAGCCGGCCTGTTCTCTGTGGCGTCAGCATATCCACTTTAAGTGATTAAATTCTGTCTGTTTTAAAAAGTTTAAACTAAAAAAAAAGTCAATTGTTCAGTCGGTGAGGCGCTCATTTCCACATGTAAGTTGTGGCTTCAGATGAAGCACAATTTTGCTTTTTTTGTTGCTTCAGAAAGTGTTTTAAATGTCTGTTTTCGGTCGTTTTTGTTATTTAACCCTTTTTAATTACCTTTGTCTGTCTTTGTTTGCAGGAGAGCTCTGATTCTTTGGACTCTACTCTGTTTCACCTGCTCTCTGAGGCTAACGCACGCACAAGGTATGAAGCTTCAAAAGCCAGTCAGGGGTGGTGTGAGTCCAACAAAATGAAAGAGTTTCCTGATTCTCACCACTTGACCGCTGTAAGAACTGGGGGAAAATTCAGTCGGTGGTACTTAAAAGCAAAGACCGGGTGCAGGGGAAGCCTAAACTGAGCTGAGGTCTTTATTGTGAGGGATGAATTCTGAATTCTGATTAGTATCCGGTGCCCATCTGGCCTCTTCCACCCTTTTCTAAATGATATATGATTTATTTCTGAACGCTGAAAATGGATCAATAGGGGACTGTGCACATCTTTGTGTTATTTCCTGTGACCTGTCTGTGACTCAAAATGTCAGGTGATGGCTCCTGATAGATTATTGGATCATTTTCATCATCAATAAGTAAGTGAAAAAACTTTTTTTTTTTAAATCAGGGCATTACTATCCCACTTTTTACCATCTAAGTGATGAGCAGGAACAAAAACATTCGGAAACAGTCCAGTGATGATCACAATACGTCTTTGCCTGTGAAAGTGTGGACATATGGAAAGCTAACTTTAAGCTACTCCTAACAACACACTTCTGTGTAGCAGATAGATGCATTACTCTAAGATGAATCGTTCCTGAAAGGGAAAAACAAATTTATAATTTGCAAACTGGGAGGAAACTTTAGTCTAGGAACCGATTAGTCTTGGAAGTTGCATTGTCATTTGAAAATCATGTTACCATCTGAAGTTCTTTCGATTACCATGAAATTGTGCACATGTAAGCACTTTCCCTGAGATGCTATCACGCTAATGTTTTATTTTTTTGTACTTTCTCCCATTTTTAGCCTCAAAGAAACATTTAAAATCCTGGCAGTGATTAATTCTCCATTGTGCTGGCTCTACTCCTAAAGTTGAAACCCAGGTTACTGGGTCAAACCCCCCCTTCCGAGTAGTTTTTGGGGCTGGGCGTGTCACCAGATGTAATGCTGACCACCCCCCCCCTGGGCTTACCTATTGAGGCCTGTCATCTACCTGTATTCTGAAGTCAGCCCGGGTCAGAAGCAAACCTGAATCCAAATAACGACATAAAACGATCATTACACACCAAAGAAAGGCACACGGGCGGGGGGCTCTGGGAATAGACGCTTTTATGTAATGGGCTGTGATGTGATCCACACTTTGTCAGCGGGGGGGCCAAGCAGTGTAACCTTGAACGTTTTCGCTCTCTTGAGGACTTTTCTCCAGCTTTCAATGCACGTCTTAGTTTATCTAGTCATAATAGTGATTGAGACATCCTCTCATTGGTCCGTAAAGAGCTTGGAGTCACGCTGGGAGGCAGTGGGAGGCAAAATGAACGGCCCCACGCATGTGCCAGATTCACCCGAAAGTTCCTTCCTCTGATGCCATTGTTCTTTATTCGAGCTCCGTCTGTAGGACGGCTTATGCTTAATTCACGGTTATTTTTGTTCCGCTCATCAGGAAGTCAAAAAGAGCCCGGGGCGGCCCGCCTCCTCGCTCACAATCCAGTTATTATGCGGCGACAGCCCCGAGAATGAATCACACAATCAAAGAGCAGTTTTGCTTCCTCATACCGTATTAACAATTTAAATCAGCGCCACATTAAAAAAAAATCTGTCTGTGTTTGATGTCTCCTCTCCGCGCGATCATTGTTTTTTTTTTTTTTTCGTCGGCCTGACCTCCTGCTGCTTGTTCTAGCTGAGCAGGGCTTCCCTCCTCTTAACAGGAACTGATCCCAAGCTCATTTCGGCTCCGCAATTTATTATTCAGCAGTTTATTTCAGTCTTCCCCACATTTGTTTCGCATTAATCCAGAAAAAAGAAGAGATGGATATTTAAGCGTTTTATGTAAGGTTTTAATCTGTCTTGGAGCTAACCGAGATGATTTAGGATGTGCAGATGGACTTGAGATGACATGTTCCTTTTTTAAAAACTTTTTTTATTTTTATTTTCCATCCTTTAAAGGCTAAACAAAAAAGCCCCTGTTTGACAGGACTGATGACTTGCAGTGGTGCCTAGAGGAAAAAAATAATAATTGGATAGTGGAAGCACTCCCGATATGTTTTACTGTAGCACTTTCAAAGGGAACAGAATGTTATGCTGGTAATAGAATAAGTTTCATGCTGCTGTTTCTCTTTTTCTCGGTTTGATGGATGGGACCACCATTTTAGATTTCAGGGTTCTACATCTCTTCTTGGGCTGTATCGCAGCCACTGCACAATCCTCTCAGATCTCTTTCTCTGCTCACTGTAATATGCGGCCACCAGGAAGAAAAGCCGAAATAATTGCTTCAAGAATGAGAAATTAGTCTGAAGAATTCTCCATAATGGAGGAGTGTTTCTATCTGCACCTGAAATGTGGATTTAATTAAACGCCTCCACAAACGTGTGGATCCAATTAGGAGCAATATACAGTGCACACAGCAGTGTAATGTGCGAACATGACTCACATTTTCCTCCCATGAGTTACAAGTAGCAATTAAAACCTGGGGAAAGCACCGCGGCGCCTTATGAGCTCCGGCTGCTGTCGGAGGGATCATCTTTAATCAGCGGACGTTTCCAGACAAAGCGAGATAGCGTCCCCGTCCACACAAAACTCTTTACATCCCCACAACTGTTCTCTCCAGGGACCGGTTGAGCTCTGGTTTCCTGAGGTTGTCCTAATTAACGGTGATGTAACGATTATATAATACGCAGCAATCCCCAAAAGAAAAAATGCTAATGCGCAATGCTACGTGAATGCCCCCTTTTTGAAACAAAAAAAAAATGCTTGCGGCAGGTTTGCTCTTAATCTGACTTTAAACTTGTGAACTCCCAGTAGAGTGTGAATGCATATTAAATATCGCTTATGTTTTGTTTCTTTCTCTTGATGCGTTTGATGCGGATCGGAAAAAATTGGGTGGAAAGCTGGTAGAAGGGGGGGGTATGTGCAAATTGATCCCACATTCGGTCTTTAATGTCCCATTAAGATTTCATATTGGGTGGAAGACAATGTGTGCCATGCTAATCCCTTTGTGGTCTGTGTCCTGGGGAAAAAAAAAGATGTTAGATAAGAATAAAAGGAAAGTGTGGGTAAAAGGAAAGTACATGATTTGTCACAAAAGTCTCAAAAGTCGCTGACTTCTCACTTTATCCTGTGCTTTTGTTTTTTCCCAAAACAACAAAACCAAAAGATGTGGATATCCTGCAGGAGCTCGGGCTGTTGGGAAGAAGGCCGGTCGGTTCGGCGTCCAGTTCTCGGCCCGCCCCCCCCGCCGCCGGGGTCATCCCCTTCCGGTCCGGCGTCATCCTCACGCCCGTGGCGAGCGTCCGGGCGCCGCTGGGCTCCGTCCTCCCGCCGGCCCTGAACGCCTCGGGCCTGTCGCTGATCCTCAGCCTGTGCGTGCACCGCTACAACGGCGCCTTCCTGTTCTCGGCCCTGAACCGAGACGGGGGGGTGCAGCTGGCCGTGCGGCCGGCGCCCGGGCGGCTCCTGGTGCGCGTGGGCCGGAACCCCCCCGCCGAATTCCCCTACGACCTGTACGACGGGCGCTGGCACAGCCTGGGGGTGGCCGTCCGAGGCCGGAGCGTGGTCCTGCACACGTCGTGCGGTCAGAAGAGCCTCCACGCGGATTTGCGCTCCAGATACGAGGAGGCCCTGGACCCCCAGGGGTCCTTCTTCCTGGGCAAAATGGACCACGGCTCGGTGCCTTTCGAAGGCGCCGTCTGCCAGTTTGACATCTACCCCTCCGCCGAGGCAGCTCATAACTATTGTGATTATATCAAGAAACAGTGCAGAGAAGCCGACACCTATCGGCCCGCGCTTCCACCCCTTCTACCTCTGTTTTCAGACCCAAATATTACTGTTGCTAACCAAACGCCACGGCCATTGACGGCAAAATCCAGCAAGGCCGAGACGGCTACTTTGGCTCCGACCTGGGAAAACACCAGGACTACGATTCCCCCCTTCCGGATGGTTAAAAGATCGACAGTGAATCCTCCAAAACCTGCTGCCACCTCTGGTTCTCCACCTCCATATCCGGGCTTGGAGAGCCCTTATTATTCACCGACTCAAACCGTTACCGCATCTCTTGGGATTAGCATGACATCGCCATCTCCAAAAAAAAAATCCCAGGCAAAGCGAGGGAATACTGACTCTCCAAAAGCTTTTGGGAAAAGTACGCGCTCACCTGCCTCCACCAGATCACAACGAATGGAGCCGCAGGGGGCCTCCGTTTCCCACAATGAGCAGCTGACCAAACCCGAGCCAAAAGCGACCGGCGCGCGGGATTTCCGACCCACCTCGCTCATTCCGGTCACTCCACCCGCAACAGACGGCTTCCAAACGTTTGACCTGGAGCCGACCCAGTTCTCGCTGCTCGCCGGACCACCGGGGCTAAAGGGAGAGCCGGGCCCACCGGTGAGTGAGTCAGCACTTGACAAACACGACAAAAAACCTGTACCAGACACCCCCGGGTGACTGTACGCATGTTTATTTGTATACTGAGTTTACAGTTTAGCTCTCTAGTGTTTCCTTTTTTTATTTTCATGAGGATTGGGGCACATCTCTGGCCTGACAGCTGTTGCTTTTAGCCGATTGCTCGCCCTTTGATATATGTGTTTTTTTTGTCTATCGCAAGTGAATAGTGTGTTTTTATTTTTCATTGAATTCCTCAGGTTCATAAGTGCCCTTTGCCAGCTACTTAGCGGAAAAGGCTGGCGATCAGGTGCCAGATTCCTCTTGCAGGGGGTGTTGCTTCTCAGAGAATGGATACTTTTAAAGCAGGGTCAGAGGTTGAAGGGATAAAGCACATGTACACAATAAACCATTCAAGGGAAATATTTAAACGCCTCCCCCCCCTCCCCTTCAACATGAACGCGGTGCTCTATCTGTCATTAGAAAGCACCACAGCTGAGCTTAGCCACAACCTGGAACTCACCTGGAGTCTTTCTGATGGTTTAATGCTGGTTTAAAAGCTGGAATCTGCTGAAACAATCTGGATTTCCACCTGCAGGAATTTGGATGGAGAAACGTAACTCTCTGATAATACTATGATAAGTGGGAGATTAATAGAGCCGCTCATTCTCAGGTGTCCAGCTGGGTTATGTGGGATTATGCCTACGAGTTATGGCCTCCATGCCATGACCGCTGTCACCTATCCTGAACGGATCTGTCACTGGTTGTCGAAATCCAAGAAAATTCATGGTTTCAACAACATTGCGGTTCTTATGAGCTGCTTCATGGTTTTTGTGCCAGGACAAGGAAAGAAATTTGCAAAGCCTAGAAAATAAAGACAGTGATAGTTCTGATATAATCATGGCTCAACATGACTAGCAATGCAGGCCAATTTAACAAAAAAAAGCAAAGAAAATGACAAAAGTTCGCTCACTTTTTCCATTGTTGAAAGAACTTTGGTCTTGTATTTAATGGAGTTTGACTTCAAATCTCAGTTTTAAGTGAAGCCTTCCTGCTTTGGCGAAGTTGGGAAAACAAAAAACCCCACTCAGTCACGGAAATGTTCTCGTCTGCCTCGAAAAGACCACAGAGAAGGAACCAGCAATGACCACGTCCCTGTGTGTGGTAACGCTCACTCTGTTTTTTAACGCAGCTTCTTAAGGCTTCAGATTAAAAAAAGCATCGAGTTGGGCATGTCATCTATCACAATTACATTTTTTTCAACGTGCCTCAGGAGGTGTCGATCAACCTTTTGGATTTTTGCATTTCTCTGGCCTGTTTGTTTTTAATCGTCTTTCTTCTGAATAGAGCGATGGTCAGAACTTTGATTGAATTGAGGCACCCTGAAATTTCTTTCAAACTATAATTTGAATTTCTCGTTTGTGAATTTGTCCGACGGCAGGGTTCAAGACAATATGGCTGATGATTTGTCGGCCATTTGCGACAAAAGACTCAAATTCTGATTTAATCCCATTATATGGTTTTGTGGCACGACTCTTTTCGTAGACGGTGCTTAGACGTGAGCTTTGGCGTTGACAGGGGGTTCAGCTTGGACTTCCCACGGGCTGATGCTCCCTTGATTACTCACTTTTTTCGCTGCTTCTAGGCCCATTTTCTCCGTCTTCTCCTTAAACTTCTGCAGGGACGGGGAAAAAATAAGTTACACTCCAACATCTAACACCAACCCAGGTTGACCTCTCATTAAATTTGACCCTTTCAGAGCTTTGCTAATCCATGTATGAAATTGTTTTAAAGCTAGCCGGTGCTGGTAATTAATGTGATTGGCTGTGTCTGGAACCAGCGCCGACCTCCCTGCCAGTGCGTCGACTCAGGGATTCGCGGTTTTGCGCGCTGTTGTGGTTTTGGACTGAAATAATGTTGGCCGAGGGAGACAGCTGCATTAGTTCCTAACAAGACATCCCCCCGCCTGCCAGAATCTCTCCGACTGTTTCGTAACTCGCAGCTAACTTCACAGAATGTGTCATCTGGGAAAAGGGGAAAAAAAAAAAAAAAAAAAACAAGCTCAGAGATTTAACTCGCTGTCAAGTGTGAATGACTTTTACAGGACCCACTCAAACGCGGAACACTTGTTCTTTAATATTTAGCTTTCCTTTAAAACGACGATGAGATAGACAGCATCTTTTAGTTTAGCTGCTTTTTAAAAAAAATCTGTGACATCCCATCTCTTTTTTAGGGCCCTCAAGGACTTCCAGGTTTGCCAGGAAAACCGGGCAAGAGGGGCCCAAGGGTAAGCATATCCCACTCAGAAATGACAGGTGTTTCATTTAACTTTGCACAGTTTCCTTTTGTTTTTTTCTTGTGCTCCCCAGTTCCCTTACTATCTTCCACATGTCTCCAATCTCAGCGATGCCTCCCTAACGAGATGCCTCCAATATGTCAAACTCAAATGTAGCGGACGTTGGAGTATTTTGATCAAAACGGGGGTTATTTCGCCACACATTAGTTTGCTTCGGCTCGCCGTGTGATCAAACCGTGCTCCACTGGGGCCACGCTCCATTTGTGGATTTGTAGTGGAAACAACCGTAATCCGCAAATCAGGTGGTTTGCCAGTAAGGAATCAGCTGAATACACAAGCTAGCTAAAGGATCGAGGGGAAAAGAGGTTTCTTAGCCGGTAAATATCGTACATGCGTTTCCATGAGCGGGCGTTTTTAAATGCCAAACATAAGCGTCAGTGAGCATGGCAAAAGGTTTTTTATTTTATTTTTTACTCTAATGCACCAGTCCTTTGATGGGGAGACTTTTATTTTGAAGCTCAATTTGAATCCGCTACTACAAACAATGTTGTCAAAAGCTGATATTTGCAGAGGAACACAAACTGTTGAGATGTTTCATTCATTTTTTGTATTCTGTTGGTTGTGTAGAAAGCCCCCTGCCAAGTAAACCAGGAAAAACAAAAACAGAAAGTCAGCCTGGGCTGAAGGAGGTATTTTACGGGTGATACGGCTGCTCTTCTGCGGAGCCCCCGCAGGGCGCTTGTGCTCCTGATGAGTGTGTACCAAATACCTGCAGTTGGGCCTCAGGGGAGGCTTGTGGGAACCCAATCTCTTTAAACAAAGAAGAAAGAAGGGCTTTGTCCCCATCTTATTAAAGGCATTTAGACCCTGTCCGGAGCTCTGTAGCTCCATCTAGCAGTACACCGACCTCTTTAGGGTTTATGCATCGTTGGCCTCTCGACGGCAGCAGTTCAGGTTCTTTGGCCGGCTGTTTTCTTAAACCGTCAGAATTTCCTCAGATGGTTCACGCGATTAGAGGGGGAAAGCCTCAGTTTTCAGCACATGGCCTGCAGGAAGCCCGCATTCGGACTCCAGCCCGCTAAAGTCCGCTTAAACATTTGGATTAAAAGCTAAATCCAACTGATGTTACATTTACAGCAGTTTTCTTTGAAACTTTAACACAACTGTATCATTCTGACCCAGACGGTCTGAATATAAACCAAAGAGCTGTTGGGTATAGAACGATATTTACAGGAAAACTTACTTAAAGTCAATAGAAAAAGACTGGTTACTAGATTTTAGTCGAATGGACTATCAAACACATGGTCAAATCAGAACAGTGAGGGGGATTTGAAATGTTTAAATGTTCCCAACCGGCAGTTGGAATCTGTTGCAGTGTGAATGACCTCATTTCAACTCTGCATTCGAGGTCGCATGTGGGGGAGACCTCAGGGATGGGCGTCGCACAAACTCAGGCCGTTGCAGAAGCAGCGCAGCCTCTCCTGAAAGCTTCAGCCATTTCTGATCATTAACAGAAAAAAAGAATCGCTGCTGAAAGCCGAGCCGATTTACGTCGGTGGAAAAAACGCCGACTCATCCAAAACAAAACCGCGCGTGCGGGCACGAACCAGCAGCTCCGTTTGACTTTTGGCCGGAGGGGGTGCCAAGAAAAGGCAAGAACACCTCATTCTGAGCACCAAAGAGGAGTTTTTCTCTCTCTTTTTATTTTGAACATTTCTGATCAAATCTGTTTTCTACCAGTCTCTTTTAAAACGAATGCGCTGGAGCCAAAATCCCAGTCAAAGAAAATGTTTACTTTGGTCTGTGTCAGCGTGTGGAGCGTCTGCCCACCAGACATCACCCAGAGGAGCTGAGGCATTTCACACTGCAGCTGCACCAACAGGCCGTTTCGCCGCGCGCAGAGGCATTAATACGGCAGCCCCCTCTGCTCTGTATTTATACAAAAGGCAATTAAATCTGTTCATCGTTTAGTCGTTGTAAAGCACTTGGACTTGTCTTGTACACCAAATGTGCTAGACAAATAAACTCGCCTTTGCCTAATCCGTTTCCAATGGGCAGATTCCAGACGTTTTTGTTTTTTTTTCCTGTGGAAGCTTTTTAGATATTCAAAGAGCAGTAACTCTCTACCACGCTTTTTGCTTTTCTACAGGTTTCTGAAGCACTTTTTTTAGATAAAAAACAACAAAACACTGATTAGACGAATTGTTGCTTGAGGCAATCCCGAATCAAAGCCCTGGTTACATAGAATTTGTGTTAATTTGCACTACAATAAAGTCCTTAAATCCTTAGTAGTAGTCCAAAATCCTTAGTAGTAGTATGGATGGATAGTATATCAAATCCATCACTGCGCCTTCATTTTGTTTTAGCCGGTACTCATAAATCACAGCGTTTCCATCCGGAGGAGGTGTTGGCGGTTTTGTTCTGGGTTAATGTCCAATGACAGGAGTGGTGGCCCACGCGTCATCCCCGTAAAAGGCCCCCCCCCCCCCCCCCCCCGTCGTAAAGCCGCTCACAGCTGCGGCGCGCAGGTGTCCCTCATCTGCAGGCGCCCGCCCGCCTATTTCTGCAGTTTTTGTGTGCAATCGCTCGACAAAATGTTACTTTTTGGCAATTAAGCCGAAGAGTATCTTCATCCCCCACACACACGTGAAGATAGATGGACCAGGTGACTCATTCAGGCCCATTATTCTCGTCCCAGTTGGGATACCGCCCGCCTGGTACCTTCATCAGCCTCCTTAGTCCCGATTTATCTTTTTTTGCACAGGAC